GCAATGGCAAAGTCAATGTGTAAATATGCCTCTGGGTAGAAACAAAATTACAGCCAAGAGTTAAGGGAATAAAACAGTGCACTTTCCAGGTCATGACTGATCAAAATAAACATTGAAAAGAAGACCAAGCTACTTTTCCAACAATAAGCATATCTGGTGAGGGTGAATATTTTTTTTCCAATTTTCAGTTATGATCTCCCTGTAACCCTGTTTACTTTTTCACTCAACAACTGTTTATCAAGTATCTACCAAAGCTGTCTTGGGCCTTGGGAATATAGTGGTAGACAAGACAAATATGTTTCTCTTAATTTTAGTGGGAGGGGATTAACAATAAACACAGAAAAATTTAATTAATAATTTCAGTTAATGATGAGCGATATGAAGGAAACAAAGCAGGGTGAACTTTTTGTTGGGTGTTGACACCTGTTGAAACAGTTAAACCCTGGAATCTGAGGGGCTTGGCACAACAGAAACTTAATTTTTATCCATAGAATGTCCAGTTGAGAGGTTCTGACTGACTGGTGGGTAGCTTTTCTCAGAAACCCGTGTTCCTTCCGTTTTGTGCTTCTCCATCTTCTAGGGCCTCGCTGCCCATAGCCTGCAAACAGGAAGAGATTTGAGAATTGTGAGGAATATTTTTAAGGGCCAGGCCTAGACTAGGACTTCAAGTCTGGATGTATGCCCAAGAGGAAAAGAAAGGGGTTTTATAAAACAGTTCCTGCCACATGCAATAACTAGATGTAAGAGAGGGGGCAAGAATATTAGATATCAAAGTGGTAAAGATGAGGTCAAAGAAGTAGATAGCAGCCAAACAATATAAAGCGTTTAGACCTGGGTAAGAAGTTTGGATTTTATTCTGAGTAAAATTCTAAATTTTTGAATGGCTGTGAGTAGATGTGTGGCATGGTCTGGTTTAGGTTTTATGGATCATTCTAGGGTTGTTGGAGGAATGGGTATAGAGTAGGGTAAGAGTAGGAGCAAGGAGACCAATAAAGAGAGTCCTGCTATAGTCGGGCTCCATATAACTTTCCAATGAGCTGAGATTTAAACTGCAATTTCACTCCAGTATCACACTCTTCACCACAACACACTGCCTCTCATAATAAAATGCAAAGTAAGATACAGAAAACCGTAGGTAATATGCTTTCATTTATGAAGAGCTGAGGTAGATACATGAGACAGTGAAGACCAGTGATTTGATTGTGTGTGCATAGACTATTCCTTGAAACACACAAAAGACACTATTTATAGTGGTTGTATCTACTGCATTGGAGTAGTGATGATGAAGATGGACAGAAGTAGGCAAAGTAGGATTATACTTTTGTTAAGAGATAATAGAGTGGATGAAGGTTGGGGGAAAAGGGAGGAGAGGAACCCAGGTTGTTTATTTCCTAGGTTTTTATTTATTATTTTTTTTTTTTTTTTTTTGAGTAACTGATCATGTCATTTACTTGGAGAGAAAGATTTGATGAGGGTCAGGATAGGTGGGCTGACACTGAGTAAATAAAAGTCTGTTTTTGCCATATTATGCCTGAGATGCTGTATCAGACAGGTCACCAGCAAGAAAGAGATCTCTCAAGGATTAAACTCTAGTTTAACAAAAGGTCTGTTTACAGAAGTATACCAAGGTGAAGGAAACCAACACAAGATGTTGAAGCACCCAAGGACTAGCAAAAATGGGAAGCCATGGTACAGGCTGATTGCCCATAGTTCTGAAGGCACAGGGGAAGAAGAGCATTACTGGACCGCAGTGCAAGCTGTAGCCATGGAGAGGATCAACACAACAGGAGTTGCAGAATTAGATGGAGGACAGGGTCACTGCCAAATTCATAGTTCCACAGGAAGGAAACCAAGGTGGTAATTAACCTGACCTATCTGTCTTTCTGCTCTTTCATCTGTCACTGGGGCTTCTCTCTTGCTGAATCCAACTAGAGGCCAGAGAGCCTGAGAACCCAGTTGAAAGCAGTAGAAAGTAAGGCATGGAGCAGGGCAGCACCATGTGAGGGTGGAATCTGGAGGGGAAGACAGAGGAAAAGCCAGCCCTGATGCTTCTAAGACTTCTTACTGGGGACTTCAAGCTAGCAAACAGATATGTAAATTTGGGGCTCAGTGGAAAGATCAATTTGAGAATCATCAGCAATAGATAGTATATGTCTCTAGTATTAAGAGTTAACACAGAGTAAGCTCTTACTCTGTGCTAGGCACTAGACCCAACACTTCACGTACATTAGCTCACTTTATTCTCAGAACAAGCCCATAGGTTAAATACCATCATATCACTGAAGCACAGTGAAGTGAAACAACTTGTTTAAGGTCACACAGCTAGTAGGTGCCAAAGGCAGGCATTAAATCCCAGGTGTTTCTGCCTTCATGGCTACTGATAGAAACCATTGTTGCATACAGCTTCTCTGTCTGAGAGAGCTGAATACTGGAGCACTGGCTTGTTAGCTCATGTGATCTTTTTTTTTTTAAAGACTGCCTATTTTTAATTTTTTATACTTCTTTGAAAGAAAACAATTCTGACAAAAATTCATCAAAGAAGATATTCCAAATTTTAATGTCCTTGTTTGAGTACTGCTTTCGACTAAGGCTGTTTGTAGACTAGAATGTTAGTAGCCCACATATTCCCAATACCACAAAAAGAGTAGATTCACTTTTATCTTGGGACCAAAGCTGGAGAGAAAAGCTTTTTTAACTTTTCTTAATTCATGAAACATTTATCTTCAAGTCAGGTTTTGTTATAGTAGCACAAATGTGATTCGTCAGCATTTCCATTCTAACTCCATATTTTCAGGGCTTTTCAAGAGTGCCTTAGAGACTTTACTTTGAATTAATCTTGCATTCAGGATTCAGATCAGAGAACTACACTTTCCTTCCCAATTAATCAAATAGTTTAGAGATTCTTAATTTAGAAAAGGTCCACATGCAAAACTTTTATTACTGCAAAAAAAAATTATTTTAAGACAAATTTGCTAATTTAAATCCTTTAAAAATATTAACACTCACTATGATGTATAATATTACATAACTGTGCAATATTAGGTCTGAAAGAAAGTTAACCATAAAGTTTCCTAAGATAGTATATAAAAATTAATAGCATCTGATACTTTACCTGTTTGGCTTTGTAAGTAATTTATTTCCACTTTGGGGATCTGGGTGATTTGCAGTTCTCAGCATAATTGGTTTAAGGTTATAACAGGATCAAGACATTGAACCAGAATAACATGGGAGAGGGGGACGAGAACCCTGAGAGAGTGCCAACATGTTCCAACATATTTTTATGAAATTTAAATTCATGTGGAAAAATTTTACATTCTCTGAAAAGAGATAAGTAACATGGATTGATTTTGTAAATAGATATTTGAAATTTAACTTACTGAACATAACAGCAGTAAGACTATTGAATGGAGTTTAGTTATAAAGCCTTTCCAACTTTGGTTAGTTCAGATCTCCCATGAATGACTGATAATAAGAAGGGGGCATGATGATGATCTTCCATCTTATATTGTCTCATTTTGTAGCCTTTAATCTCTCTTCCAGCCTTATATAGTTTGCTGCTCTTTACCTTAGAGTCGATATTGACTCTAGCAACCTTATATGATAAAGTAGAACTGCCCCATAGAGTTTCCTAGGCTATAATCTTTATGGGAGCAGATCGCTTTGTTGTTATGTGTAGATTGGTTTGGACTAAGTAAGTAGAAAGTAGTGAATGAAACTAGATGAAAACTTTCGAGTAAATCTGCTCTCCTACTCACTGACTTTACTCCAGCCACGCTGGCCTCCTTGCTATTCCAGAAACACCCCAGGCAAACTTCCACCTTGGGAACTTTGCTCTAGCTCTGCATTCTACCTGAAACACTTTTCCTCTGATGTCTGCTTGACTAACACCATTACTTTCCTCAGTCTTTTTTCAAACCTTACCTTCTGAATGAGGCCAAACTGGATCACTCTACTTGATAATGTGATTTTCCCTTAGCATCCCCAACCTCAAAACTCATAGTACCACTTACTTGCCTGGTTTTTACTTCTTTTCACAGAACTTACTATCTTCTAACACACTGTAAGGTTATTTTTATGTTTTTCTGCCACCACTAGAATGTAAGGTCCATGAGGACAAGAGTTTTTGTTTTATTCATTGATGTATCCTAGGCACTTAGAATTGTGCCTGACTTACATTAATTGCACACAAACATTTGTTGACTGAATAAATTGTTGAATGAAATATAAATTTCAAAGCCCACAGCAAGAATCTCCAAACAATAGTCCAGATATAACTTTTTCAGCTTCTTTTAAAGAATTTTGATTATTTCCCTAAAACAATGGAGAATGCCCTTTAAACATTGATTTTAAAATGAAAGGCCCCATATTTAGATCCTGTTTATAATTCATTTTAGGCCCATTTTCTTGGTACTGTTGAAACTGAATCTTAGAGACTTCTGCAGCTAATTTTAATTTTAGCTATTGTTTGGAAAAGATTAGCTGAATAGATAGATGTATAGTTTCCACAAAACGAGTATTGTTTTTGTAACATTTTTATGCATGTAATGATATTAACACTGAACTGTGAAAATTCAGGAATTAAAGTGTGATCCCATAATTTAAAAAAAAGAAAAAAAAAAAAGCTCCCTGGAGCTGTGGTAAAATTGCTGTGCTGAATTCAAAAGCAGTCTACAAGGGTTTCTTCCTTGCCGCAGCGCTTGAAAACCATGCCAGCTGCAAAATTTAGTAAGAGTTTCCCACCACCCCCAGTGGTGTAAAAGCGAGGACACAAGAATTTTAGTGTAGGTACCAGTACTGGTGTCACATTCACCAACACAGCCCCCTCTGATTCTGAATGGTGGCTGATAACAAAAGCTAATGTTTTCTATAGTGAGAATGTAGTGATTTTATTATTGGAATAAAAAATTACATTAAAATGTAAATAAAACCAATTATCTTTCAATTCCTTTTTATATATCAAGTGGAATTTATTTGACTTTATTTCTGTTTTATCTTCCTAGGGTAAATGTGAGCATTCACTTTACGGTCACATGCATTCTATCAATGATGCCATCTTCACTCCTAGGGTGAGTTCAGTTCTCACAATAAATTCTTTTAATGTTTCCTAGGTACAAATTAATTTTTAGGAAACAAAATTTTACGGGAAATGGTATGTTAACAAGATGAAGAGGAAAACAAATTTTGAATTTGATTATGAGCGAAAGAAATGATACAGAAGGTATGAGTGGAGGGATGACATCAAGTTAGCACAGCAGTGAAGAGGTGTAAAGCACACACACACACACACACACTGACACTTGCACACTCACACACACAATATGCAGTGGCAGGAGTGATGAGGAATTCTCCTATTGTACTCAACTCTGTTTAAACACGTTTGAAGCATATTGTCCAATTTGGGCTTCAAGAAAGTAAGTGGGTTGTAGACTTGTAAATTTTAATGTTAAATCATAAAAATAACTAAAGTGCTTGAAAGGAAACCTAAAAATAAAAAAAAGTTAAGGCAACAGGGATTATTTTTCTTCAGGTCAGAACAGAGCAAACTCGATTTGACATCTTTTCAATTCCTCACGAGAAGGTTTCAGATTTGTCTTTCTTCATATAAACTGATGACATAACAAAAGTGTTTTTTTATTTACAGCTTTAGGTATCCAGATATAAGGATGGTTTCACCAGTGATGAAGACTCTTAACATTGCTTTCAGTTGCTAAGCTAAAGGGGATGTCCTTAAAAGTGTTCAGAGAGTAATAATGGAAGGATGGGCGAAGTTTGTTCCTTCTCAGATGAAAGCGATTTGTCTAGATGGATGACCACACAAGTCCCTTCAAGCTCTATAATTTCATTATCACTAACATTTTAATCTGTCTCTAAGTTCCATGCAGAGTAAGAATCTTAATTCCAAATTCCTCTTATTTTCCAATTAGAGGGGAAAAAATCTAATAGATTACTTACGTCTAACTTCAAAATGACAGCATAGTCAAAATTCTGTTACTATCATGCTGTCATTCTTTTAGAAAAAGGAAAATGCTCACTAAAAATTATATCTACTAAAGGAACGTTGATTGCTGTAACTGAAATGGTGCTGGTGTCATTGTCAGCCTTGGGAATGTTAATGATGGGCTCAACCACAATTATATTTTAATAGATTCATCGTAGGAAGGATATTCCATTTAATTGACTCTAGTGAGCCAATTAGTTAAAAAGTATTATATTATGGATTGGTTCTAAATACCAAGTAAAATTTTATTTCTAGCAGATTATAGAGCCATTTACACACTCTGGGCCCAAATGATATAGGATATTTATGCTAAAAATCTATTAAATATAGCTTTACATGCCCTAGGAAAATTAAATGGAAGCTAAATGAAGTAAACTAATATTTTATAATTCAAGAGTATTATTTTGGTAAGCAATATCATAGCTGAAAAAGACACACCATTTAACATTCTAAACAGTAACATTAATAAATATGGAAATAGCCAAATTGGATTTATTGAATCAGCAATTAAGGGAGGCAGGCATTAAATATACATATTTCCAAAAGCAAGATGATAAGGTCCAGAGGTTCAGTGTCAAAGTGTCGAACCAGTTTTTGTTGACACACCTTGTCCATACTGAAAGGAGTATTAAAATATTAAAACACTGTTTCAAATCAACATCCCAAAGCCTCATTGAATTTTCTATTAATTTATCTCTTCTTTGCTGCAAATATTTAGTAACTATTAAGAAAACAGTTTTGTTTTTGATGAAAATTTGGTCACGTATCAATGGTTTTGTAAAATATGCTTTATTTCCCATGCCTGCTAAATAATGTCAACAAAGACTTTCAGGAATCTCTTGAGGATGTGGCATTGTGACACAGTTGACATTCAAACAAACTATCAGACAAAGTTTCGATAATAAGTGCATCATACAGTGCATATATAGCAGGCAGAGATTTGAATTATTTAGTATTAGATTGCTAATTGTTTGATGCCTTTAGGGGTATGCATTCAAGTTACATTACTAGTTATAATTGCATTCAGCATTTATATAAACACAGTTTTAGCAAAATGCTGCAATTTTTTACTTGCAAGTAGAAATCACAAATGTAAAATTCAGTGTTTTCTAGCTAGCAACCAAGAATCACAAAAGATATGCTATCTATAATATTTATGAATGGTCCTAAAAAACTAGGTAGACTGAATTTTATTTCTCACTGGTGATGTAGTGGTTAAGGTCAGCAGTTCAGATCCACCCACTGCTCCTTGGAAACCCTATGAGGAAGTTCTACTCTGTCCTATAGGGTCAGAATCAACTTGACAGCAACTGACAACATTATACAGTATTAGAGCATGGATGTCTTTATTACTGTCTGCTTTTTCTATTGGAAGTAGATATTTACTTTGAACCTCTTTTTAAGTAATCTATAATGAAGCATTTTAAGGAACTAGGAAAACTTTTTACTAAGGCCATTTTGTAAAGCAAAACCAAATTTAAAAAAAAGCTGAAAGTAATTTCTGGATAAATATTAACAGACGCAAGAAATTTAACGTAAGTAAAGGAGAGAAAGACTATGTAAAACTACATAGCGGTAGGATGAGCAGTGTCTCCCTGGTCTTCAGTTTTCTTGGAAGTTAACCCCTAGTCTGACTAAGGTGGGGATTCCATCAGGTCTTTCAGAAACTCTTATTGGTCACCTCCTGTAAGGATGGTGTAGCAGAGTGGGTAACTTTATCTCTCTGTGGACATTCCCAACTGTTCTGAGAGGCATGGAGCCAGAGTGGATATGCTGTGGTTGCCTGGTGATGTCAGGCTCACTCTATAAATTAACTAGCTTTCCAGCTCACTTAAGTAAACCCAATACAACAATACTTCCATCTCACTGAGATCTCTGATATACTGGAACTACCTCTTACTCACCATCCCATCATCCCTTCTGCCTTCACTTATCATTTTATCCCGGCTTAGGTTCCTTCGTTGTTATTCTAACAATTCCATTGCAAAAGACATTAGCTCACTTTGACCTCATTTCCTCTGCAATGCTTACCTGACAAAACTAGTTTCTTTGCCCTGCACCAGAACAGATTAAAATGTAGAGAAAACCATACAATCAAAGTGGTTGATTTTTTTTAATTCACTTTAAATTTTTGATCCCAATGTACAAATGGCCACTCGTTAGTACTCAACTTCTCAACTATATTTCTCTATTATGTTCACTTTTCTACTGTATTAGATTTTCTTTTTTTTGTCTCTTAGATTATCTTTATACCTTTTCCTCAAACCTCCTCACGCCCTCATTACCCCCGTCCACCACAAACTGTCTAATATCCTTGACTCATTCTTTATGGAAAAAACAGAAGCCATCTGAGAAGAAATCTCATACTGCCCTACTCAACTACTACATCTCTAATTAGCATCTCCAAGCATCTTCTGCATCTCCCCTCTAGTAATCACGGAAGGTGTGTATGAGCAACTAAGGCATTTAAATCCTTCCATTTACATTGTATATACCATTGTCTCCCACCTTCTTCATAAGTTTATATTTTCAGTTATCCCTGGTCTTTACCTTTCTATAAGATTATTTCTATCCGTATACAGGCATGTTCCAAAATTTTCTGTATTTAAGAAGTCTGGCATTTCGTCCCGCAGTGGAGACACCTGTCTTAATTTTCTTACTTTTTATATACTGTTGATTTTCTTTTTAAGTCTGGACTTATTTAAAATTGTTTTTAGTTTCAAATATATGTGAAACCTGTAACTTAAATACTATAATTTAAAGTTAATGCATCTTATGTTATATAACATTATATCTGTCTTAGAGTTCTCTAGAGATACAGAACTAGTAATATGTGTATATATGTTGTATATGTATATATATATATACACACACATTCTCCTCACTTACTGACTATCTCATTATCTGATGTTTTGTATTTATGACAATAGTAAAAAATCTACTATCCAAATATTTTGTGCATTAACAACGTACATCTGGCAGTAACAAACATCAAGTTGCGAGAGTCATGCTGGCTGTGATGAGAAAGTTTATGTGTCAGCTTGGCTGGACCATGATTCTCAGTAGTTTGGCAGTTATATAATGATGTAATTTTGTAGTTATGTAATGATATAGTCATCCTCCACTTTGTGATCTGTTGTTGTCATCCTCCATTTTCATGTAATGCCGATTTTGCATAATGACCTTGTCTTTGGAAGCTAACCATGTGAATAAGTGAGGAGAGGGTATGTATATATATGTTGTTGTATGCCATTGAATAGTTTTTTACTCATAGCAACCCTATGTGACAGAGTAGAACTGCTCCCATAGGGTTTTCTTAGCTATAATCTTTATAGAAGCAGATCACCAGGTCTTTCTTCATGGAGCCACTGGGTAGGTTTGAACTGCCAACCTTTTGCTTAGCAGCTGAGTGCTTAACTGCTTGTGCTAATAGGGCTCCTTATATATGTGTGTATATATATGTTGTCGTTGCTGTTAGGTGCTGTCAAGTCAGTTCTGACTCATAGTGACCCTATGCACCACAGAACGAAACACTACCTGGTCCTGAGCTATGCTCACAATTGTTGTTATGCTTGAGCCCATTATTGCAGCCATTGTGTCAGTCCATCTCATTGAGGGTCTTCCTCTTTTTTGCTGACCCTGTACTTTACCAAGCATGATGTCCTTCTCCAGGGACTAATCCCTCCTGATAACATGTCCAAAGTATGTAAGACGTAGTCTAGCCATCCTTGCTTCTAAGGTGCATTCTGGTTGTAATTCTTCCAAGATAGATTTGGTCGTTCTTTTGGCAGCCCATGCTATGTTCAATATTCTTCACCAACACCACAATTCAAAGGCATCAATTCTTTCTCAGCCTTCCTTATTCACTGTCCAGCTTTCACATGCATATGATGCAATTGAAAATAGCATGGCTTGGGGTAGGCACACCTTAGTCTTCAAAGTGACATCTTTGCTTTTCAACACTTTAAAGAGGTCTTTGCAACACATTTGCCCAATGCAATACGTCTTTTGATTTCTTGACTGCTGCTTCCATAGGTGTTGATTATGGATCCAAAGAAAATGAAATTC